AGAGAGAGAGAGAGAGAGAGAGAGAGAGAGAGAGAGAGAGAGAGAGAGAGAGAGAGAGAGAGAGAGAGAGAGAGAGAGAGAGAGAGAGAGAGAGAGGGGAGACGAGACTGTGGTAACATTATTAAATATATCCACTAAACCATGAAGTGAGATAATGTGTTCTGACTCCTCAGTCCTCAAGGAAATCAACTCCGGTGTCTCATTTCTCCTTGCATCTGTTAATGCTATGCTCACTAAGTTTATGAGACAATGCTATCCTGATTATTTTCACAAATACTGCATTTACCAACCATCCTGAGGATATAAAGGTCTGGGTCTAAAAGCCGAGCTTGCATACCTTTGCGCACCCAGTCTCCAGTGTGAATATTGATAGTCACACCTACTAAATTGCTACTTCGCTGTCTTTTCTCCCAGAGAAAATCAAGAGCTTTTCTTGCATATTCCTATAATTAAAAAACAAAAACACATTTTAAAAATTTTGTCTTTAGCAAAGAGCAGGAAATCCATAAATCAAAGAGCCAAAGAATCTTTAAAGAATTAAGCAAAATTCTTAAGAGAATCACTTATAAATTTCCTTAAAATCTTGCCTTGGCTCATTTTCAACCACTTCAGGTTAAATACTCTCAGCTGGAGAATATCCATGGCCATTTACCCTTGTAGCATGGGTCACATACATATATAGATTATTATATTAACTGTTGACATAATTAAACGCACTTGTTAAAATAATTCTTACCACCTAAGTGCAAAGTGGAAATCTCCTAAAGTTGTTTCATTTAGCAAACTTGAAGAAGATTCAGAGTTGCTATGCTATCTTTCAAAGTCATTTCAGATACTGTTTTATAAGTGACACATAATTTTATTAGTGAAAAATTAGCAAATCAACTAGGCTAATGAGAACTTATTGGTATACTAATGTATATATACATATACATAATGCATAATCTTATGACAATTTTCATTTACTTTTATTCACTGGATATTAAATTGAAATTATTTCTTATAAAACTCTTAGCTTTTAATAAAAGATGTTCCAAGTGGAATGTCAAGGGTAGCTACCAGTAAAACTCTAACTTACTTTTAAGGCATGGACGTATTTATCATTACACCTAATTTATTACTTTGTAAGTCTGGCACTAGAGTACAAAATCATTTACATTCTTGATGCAAATTTTGCATGGTAATCATATTTCTACAAAGCGGATCACAACTATAATTACACGGTGGATTTTCAAATCTGGAAAGCTTGTTACTGATTATATTTCCTTATTCCTATTTTACAGCTTAAAGAAAAAAAAACAGACCCAGTAAAACTACGGGTTTAACCAAAGTTTAAAATTTAATTATAGAGCTCTAATGCAGATCCCTGACTTCTTTGTATACTGGTCTCCATATACTGGGGGCAGGAAAGTTTTTCGGACATGGGTCGGAGGGAAAACAGTTCAAGCATTGTGCGTCATACCGTCACTGGTCACAGTTTCTCAACTTGTGACTATACCAGAGAAAGACAAAACTAAGTCATTGAGCACAGATGTGGTTTCACATCAACTTAAAAAAAAAAAAAACCAGACTGCAGCTCAAAGCCCTGTTAGCAGTAAAGCTCTGTCAAAGGCATATTAGGCGATTTCAAAAATCATGATTTTTCAACATTTACTCAGAAAAACAAAATAGGCCAATGGAAACAGTAAAGACATGGCTCCAAATCCAACTACATTTGTCTACTCACTGACTGCAGGCTTCTCTCACTGAAACTCATTTTTGCCCATAAAGCCACCAATATCTCAGAAAGTTTTCATATTTTTTGTATCTCAGAAAGTTTTTATATTAAAATGTATTACAATTACCTATATGTTTAATGAAGAGAAACTATTAGACAAAAAGGTTTAAAACATTTACCAGTAGCACCTGATAAATCTGCCCTCAAGACACATGAACGCACAGGCATCCATTCACACCCAAACAGGAGCAGACAAGATCTTCACACTGGCTTCCTTCACATCCTGATCCAGTCTCTATAACGGTGCTGTATGTTCCCTACTTCTGCCCTGGCCATGTGGCCATCCTATGACTTTAAAACATTTGCCTAAGTCATGTGTTTGATAAAGTGGGTATGTAACTCTTGAAATCTAATGATAATTAAATTACAATAAATAACTACTTTAGAATTTTTTAATGTAAGACAAAGATAAACCCCAATAAAATATGTGGGGTGATATAAGTTTCTTGAATAGTGAATAACATTTCCTTTGAAATAGACAAATTTACATATTAGACTCTCAATCAAGGCTTATACACAAACTTTTCATTACTAAATGATTTGTGGAGGTTTCAGAAATACAACCAGCCATTTGAAGGTCTAATAAATAAAACACAGATACAAGGACATCTGGGCTAACAAGGAGTCATTAAATTTACATGATGTAGTTAAACAATCTTCTAAAAGGAAAATTAAAGTTTTACTTTATGGACTGTGAACAGAAAGTGAACTTGTATTTAATACAGCTGCCTCACAGTGACTTCCATGCGTGTAACACTGAAATCTGATTAAAAGTACACTAAAGTAACAGTAATCCTACAATCAGAATCCTAATCCTTAGCCAAAGGAAATGAATAGAAGGTTAGTTCCTCCCAAACCCCAGGAGATCAAAGGTCATGAAAAGCAAACCTCAAATATGGTGGCTCCTGTGAACCGACTCAAGGCAGCAAACTCGAGAATCAAGGTGCCTGCGCAGGCCGTACAGGTGTCTGTCTCAGTTCCTGTCCGGGCTTCTGGTTTTCTGATGCCAAACTTTAAATTAATCTAAACACAATGAGAATAGTACCATGAGCAACTACCAAGAGATAAATGAATTTATGGTCTCTGACTGTCCATCAAGACTTTATCAGATTGTAGAAATGATTCATGAAGTGAGTGAACAGAGAAGTCAGTCTGAGGATGTTTGTGGCTCTCCAATGAACATCTGGGAAAATAAGCATGCAGAACTTATGCAGTAAATAAATTCTCATTTATTTCCTTTCTTGATGATGTAATAATACATCACTATAACAATAGAATCATTAAAGAATACAAGTTATATCATCTGTAAAAGAAACTAAGTTTAACTGAGAATTTGTGAAACCAGTACAATGTTAAGTCCTTCACAGAGAAAAATTTGATTGTAATGGCATATAATGAGAAAAGATTAAAATTTTTATAGGTTTTTATAAATTATTCTTTGACCATTTCTACACATATACAATACATTCCGCTCACACTCCTCTCTATCCCTCTGATCTTCTTCATGTGTGGTGACACCCAACCATAACATTATTTTTGTTGCTAATTCACAACTGTATTTTTGCTACTTTATGAGCAGTAGTATGTAAATATCTGATGTGCAACCTCTGTGAAAGGATCATTCAACGCCCAGGGGTAGCAACCCACAAGTTGAGAACCACTGTGTTATATGTGGTAAGATACAAAGCAATGGGTCTTTGCCTTCAAGGAGCTTATAAAATCCAGACAGAATAAATAGGTATACATAAAAAAAGAAAATTAATAATAACAGAAAGTTACAAATACATGCAAAAAGAAGGGATGGGCAAAAATAATGCTAAAATGGAGGAAATAAAGTATCCTGGGTTGGGAGTAGCTGCAAATTTTTAAAAAGTGACTAATCAGGTCATGGACCCCAAAGGAGAACCAATTACAGCCTCTTTAAACCAGTACAACCCCTCCCCCAGCTTCTGAGTGCTCACCCTTACTCTCCCTGATTAGAGTAACTCTCACCAAAGAAGCTTCTTTTGCAGCAGATGGAGGTTAGGGAAGCCACACCTGGTGAAAATACAGAGAACACCTGACCATGGGGTGCCCAGGCCCCGTCAATACATCTGCAATACAAACCCTACACCAAAGGTCCACGGAACATCATGGAAGAAAGGGCGGAAAGACTGTAAAAGCCAGAGGACCAGGATATGTGCTATGAGATGCTGTCTTTGGGAAATGACAGGAAAATGAGTCCATGGAATCTCAAACAAGACCCACACATCTGTTGACATTCCAACATAGATGGGAAAATTTCGCAAGACCCTATCCCTAGACGAAGAACTATGGAAAATTTATGGCTGCTGAGAGAGGTTGTTCAATCCCAAGTGGTGAGTTCTAATCAAATACACATATGAACACTAAATGGACTCAACAGGGTCTCTTTACAGTGTGTGTGTGTGTGTGTGTGTGTACACGTACGTACATAACAATAATTTAAGAGGTCATGAGTTTGAGAGGGAGAAGAAGAACATGAGAGCTGCCGAGGGAGAGGTGGAAATGATGTAAACAGAGTACTCGTGTATCAAATTCTCAAAAAATAAATTAAGATGATAAAATCCAAGTCATAGTCAAACAATGAGATTTACCTGAGAATTAGCTTTCAAGATTTAATTAACTTTGAAGAAATACTATTACAATGTATGGCTAAGGTTTGTATGTGAGTTTTTAACATGACCATGATAGCCATTGTACACAGATATTCATAGCAGCTGTGGCTACCTGTATAAGACTGGGCCTGTCAACATGTCATCACGAGGAGGGGAGGGGAACTGTTAGGTTGTCTCCATGTTCCAATAAATAACCTTCCACCTGTGCTCATAGTGGTAATCCTAGTTAAACCCAGTGGGATACACACACACACACACACACACACACACACACAGTAGAACAGACAGACACCCCCCCACACACACACACAATCACTAAAGTAGGAGGGAAGTTTCACTTGTTGAGAAAAAGGAGAGGAGATAATGATGATGAAAATGACAAAAAAATCATTATATTCATGTATAAAATTTTCAAAAAAAAATTTAAGGCCATTAAAGGTTGAGACAGAGATTGGCACTAGCCTAGCATGCAAGACGCCCCACAAACAGAAAAGGTGTTACAGACCAATAAGTCATACAAAAAGTATTTCTATCTAGCAACATTCTTCTGCCTTAGAGCCATTAATACACACTCGATATATCAAGTACTATGACATCCCAGAGAAACTGATTATATCATTTTCATGAGCAAAAGTAAGTGTGTATTAGGAAGGAAAGATTGTCTTCTTCTAAAATAATCATTTCAAACTCTTTTAGACACTTCAAGGAATAGGAAAATAACAAGCTTCTTTGTTTACACTAATATTGGTAGTACCTTCTGTTTCAATTTACTGCCTGCCTCTTGGGTTACAGAAAACACAAAAAGTTGGAGAGGGGCTAGGGAGATAGCTGTTGGCAAAGTGCTTACACAACAAGCATGAGGGCTTAAGTTCAACCCTGGTACTCATGTAAAAAGTCCAGGTTTGGCCAGTGTACCCATAACCCCAGTGCTGGTGAGGCAAAAGCAGGATTCCTCTCCTTCTGGAACTTCTTTCTTATGGTTTGTTACACTGCCCACTGTAGGATGCTTAAATGCTGACTCTCTAAATGCTTTCCTCTTCACAAGCTCCACTTCCTGATTATCTTCTTGGAGAGTAACACCTTCCTACTCTCATAGCTTCCACTACTGTCTAAGCACCAACAGCTCTGGCCCACACTGCATCCTGGCATCTGTCTCCTCCTCCTGCAGCATGATCTAGTCTGACACACTGAGGCTGAGGAAAGCTTATACTCACTTCACATCATTCAAATGTTAGCTAAAATGTCAATATAAATTTGCTGTCAGCTCTGATGCATCTTCTTTGAGGCTTATGCCAGTGGGGAACACCTCTGATCACCAGAACTCACTCTGTAAACAGCCAAGGAAGCAACAACAAAGTTGTACTTGTTTACAGTGACGTACCCTGGGATACGGAAGGCCACTGGTAGTGTTGAAAGCAGGCAGGAGCTTGTAACCCAGCTGCTTAGCCATTTGGAGAAGCTCATCATTATACCACTGCATGTGTTCACCTTTTTCCTTCAGCATGATCGCCAGTGAGTGTCCACCCAAAAGACCCCTAGAATCACAAAGACAAAACTTTACCTGCACTTTAATTGAAGATATTTACAAGCTACTGTCTAAGAAGGTGTGGGCATTTGTTCCCAACAATTTGCAAACATAAGGGAAGGCTACAGAATGACTGAATTCTTTTTTACTGATTACTTATTTTGTGGCAAACTATTATAATCACATAGCTAATATAGTAAAACAAACGAAAACGACTAGGGGCTGGCAAGAAGGCTCAGTAGGTAAATGTACTTGCTTCCAAGGCTGCAGACTAGAGCTGAACTCCAAACACCACTTACTACAAGTAGAAAACTGTTGTCCTGCAGGTCCCGCCTCCATACAAATAATAAATAAATGCAAAAATATACAAACTATTAAAACCTGGCATTCTCAAGTACCAGAGTGCAACCTAGATAACATGTGTATTTTAACAAATGAGCTAAATGTCTTCAAAATGGACTTAAAGTTTTTATTTTATCACCATGAATCTCTGACTCTTGGTATAACATTTAAAATTTTAAAACACCTTAAACCTCATTAAAAAGATTTAATAGTCTCTAAGAAGTTATCTTAGATTTCTTTCATTTACCTGAAGAGATGGGACAGAGAATTACAAAAGCTATTGAACATGAACTTACCTAATGTTAAGACAAACTAATTTACAATCTCAGACTTCTACCCTCAAAAGTATTTCTTATTGTCTGAGGAGCAAGCCTGTAAACTGAGACTTATGTGGCTTCTCTACAGAGGCTCCTGGCTAATGCTGGCCAGCTGTAGAGACACTTAGAAAGCTCTGACATAACAGAAAACATGCCAACCTACAGTTTCTTTGCATGGGCAGATCACCTGTAGTGTGAGTCTCTTTCCAAAGACTGTTGTGTCTGTTACAGCTAATGTTATCCCTGTGGCCAGTTTTACAACATCCCAAATTTTATCTTTTGGAGAAGGGCTCACTCTAGCTCAGGCTGGTATGGGACTTAATGTATAGCTAGGCTGGACTTAACTTTCTAAGAATTCTCCTGTAACAGACTTCTAAGTGTCAGGATACAAGCCTGAGCCATCATGCCTAGATTCCACATTTTCTTTTTCTTTGTTTTTTTTGGGTGTTTTGGTGGCTGATGAATGCCTGCCTACCACATACATGCAGTGCCTTTGGAGACCAACAAAGGGTATCAGATCCTCTGGGACTAGACCTTTGGCAGTTGTGAGCAGTCATGTGGGAGCTGGGAATTGCACCTATGTCTTCTGCAAGAGTAGCTAGTGCTCTTGACTGTTGAGCCACCTCTTCAGCCCCCTGAAGTCTGTATTTTAAGTATAAAAACTTCTTTACTACCTTCATGAAATAGTCAGTTGGAAGTTTTTTCTATAGTTAGCATTATGACTCTAGCATTGTGTACTTACCCAAGAACTCTGATGTTTGTTTCAAAGACTGAAACAACTACATCATTATCTAAATTAACATCCCTTAAAACTTTTCTCACTGCATCTTCAAATTCCTTAGTTTTGTTTAATACCTGAGGGAGGAAAAAAATGAAGTAAAATTCTTTCGTACCAAGCCAAGAAAAAATTATACTCAGAATAACACACTAAAATCAATGTTAGCATACTTTAAGAGTCAGAAAAAATGAGGCATTCAAGATAATATAGCCCTTAAGAATACTATAGAAATATGATAATGTCTAAAACTGAAGAGCTAAGTACAAACAATGGAGCATCTTTACATATTGATGTACTTTCAGGACTTTAAAAGATCCCGCAAAGGAATTCAGACTGTGTTCATAATACAGGTTGAACATCTCTAAACCCCAAATCTGAAATACAAAATGCTTCAAAATCTAAAAATTTTAGATTTTCAATATCTTGTTGACACCACTCAAAATGTGACAGATTTCAACTATTTTAAGCTGTTGGATTAGGAATGCTCAGCCTATAGAGCGGTTTCAAAATACAAACTTCTAGAACCAAGTGATTCAGATAAAAAGATTCTTTTTCATACAAAGACATGAGATAGACAGGCATATATGGAGGCATATTGTTCTTTTCCTACTTCTAGTACTTCTAGAAAAAAGTAGATGTACAAATAGTACTTCTACTGAGCCCCCCCTCCCCGTATACATACATACCTACAGACATAGCTACCAACCTACATATATTGTCCATGGCCAGCAGGGCTACATGAGGTGTGCTCTGTTGGGATCCTGCTCATCAAGCACCATCTATGAAACTAAGCTCTCCTGGGCTTGCTCAATGGGTAAAGGCACCTGCTGCCAACCCTGATGGCCTGAATTCAATCCCTGAGACCCATATGATAGAAGGAGAGAACCACCTCCTCCAAGTTGGTACCACACAGTATGATACATGCACCCACATACATACACAGAGAATAAACAAATACATAAACAGGTAAAATAAGAAACGTCTGACTTCAGAAGAAAGTACTCTTTACCTGACTGAGCCTAAGCCTTTGCCCTATGCCACCCTTACCCCATGGACGTCCCACTGGCAGAGAAAGCCATGTAATCAAAAACAGACCCAGATCGGAATTCTAGTTCATTCACATGAATCACTTGTGACTCAAGCCAAGCTATTGCATATCTGAGCGTGCCCCTTCATCTATAAAGGAAGGAGGAACTACTCTATAGAGCTGTTTTATTAAATGAGGCCAGAGTGTCTGACTTAAGTGCTGAACAGCCTGTGTTTAACAGTACTCCTATTGGAATCAAGCAAGTGTAGGCCTGTGACTCAGCCGAGACCTCAGTGGGCTCCCGGAATGCGCTCCATGAAAAGGGGCCACTGTCATTACAAAGGCTGCAATCCATCTTCCATCTAAATTAGGGATGTGATTACAAGTTATGCAGAGACCAGATACAGTCATAAAGTTGCCTGTGACTGTTTAATCTTTTTGTTTGACAATACTTTACAGTTCTTTTTCAAATTTGATCTGATCCTAACTTAATCTGTGACAGATTCCCTAAGAGTATGTGTCTAAAATTCAAGTTACATTTAGGGCAAGCCTGAAATCAAGGACAGTGGGGAACCTGACTGAACTGACTAGCTTCTCTTGCCAGCCTCACACGCATGTAAGTCCACAGCAGCAAATGCAGACGTATGTGCCCTGCCATCACACTGAAGAGAGACACACCCGCTCTGTCCCACTGGCCCTTTTCTTACGACCGTGTTAATCTTCTCTGTGGTCTACCTCCTGAGAACTCTTCTCACTTACAGCCACACTTCCATCCAACATACATCACCGAAGCACCAAAGCCAAACTCCCAACAGAACTTCTTTGCCTGTGATTAGCTACAAAACTAATCCTAGTAGGCTCTCCATTTTCCCTGTGTCTCTGTCTCCTAACAAGTAACAAAAGGAGAGTTGAGGCTCACCTTTCTCCTCATTTTTATGCTGTTTCAGGAACTGCTGCCTTTTCAGATCCCACAGTAATGGGTGTACCCATGCATGTTTTAGCACTCGATTCTACAACCGTTAAGTCGAAACTAGCATTTTGAACAATTTAAAGTTAAAAATCAAAATGCAGCAAGAGGAACTGACTTAACATATGTTACAAACAAAAGAAAAAGGGTTGGGTTCTGTACACTAATCACTACAAGCACTGCTGTATTATCAAATCACTAAATCACAAGACTTTTTTTTTAAAAAATCACAATTTAAAAAGCAAACTTAATTAGAAATACTAATACTTGCACTGATTAAAAACATGCAACATAATGTCACCTCTAAATGCAGGCAAACCTATGAAAGTACTCCACTTTTTTCTAGTTCTTCTGTTTAAACTCAAAAATACTTAGGATAATGACGTCATTTATTTCCAATGCTATAGTGATCTGTAGTTACTTTGGTTATTCTCACTTGAAATTAAGTTTTTTGGGTTTTTGTTTTGTTTTGTTTTGTTTTGTTTTGTTTTTTGAGACAGGGTTTCTCTGTGTAGCCCTGGCTGTCCTGGAACTCACTCTGTAGACCAGGCTGGGCAATTAAGTATTTTATAAAGTAGTATTTCATGTATTGGATGTGGACGCCTATGTTTGTGTGTAGGGACATGTATGCCACAGTGTACGTGGCTATGTCAGAATAATTTGCCTAAGTCAGTTGTCTCCTTCCACCATGTGGGTCCTGCGTGTCAGGTTGTTGGCCTTGGTGGTAAATGCATCTTCTGAGCCATCTCACCAGCCCACAATCATTTGTATTTCTAACTAGATCCCAAATCATGCTGTTACTAGTCCAGGCATCTTACCTTGAGAGCTAATGCCAGACTATTTTAAAAGGTACAACCTGAAGAATATTATCTTCATAACAATTTGTGGCCATCCACTGAGAGAAGTTGACAGATTTCTAAATGTAGGAATGTTATTCAGATGGAAACACCTTGTCTCCTTTATGTCTGAAGATATTTTATAAAGTAATAATGACAACTAAAGTCCATTGTCATGAAAATACACTAAGAACTTAGAAATTCCAGGGACTCTGAAGGAATGAAGCTGACAAGATGAGTAAGGATGTCACCCTTCCCCAGTGCTCACTCAAAGCTCCTGTTCCTCACCTTCTCCCCATCCCAGAGTAGCCCTGTGCCTCGCTCAGCTACAGTTATGCACAAATCACACCGTTTGATCTCCTATGTGACAACTGTGCCTTCCAGAGACTGTACAGCTCCAGGATCCACCTTTATATCTGCTGGGGTAGTTTGTGTGTCTTCTCTCTTCCCCTGTGACCACTAAATCAGAAATTCGGCATGTAACAGTATCTTTTTCATAGTTCTTATAAAATAGTTTGCACTTTTTCATTCATCTTTGCTAGTAAAGCTGTGACTGTCAGATCTCCAGCCCAGGAAAGATCTAAGCAGCCGGTTTTCACCATGGCTACATCAAGGTCAGAGAGAGGCAGGCCTGAGGCTTCAGCAGAGCAATCACAGAGAAGTGACCTGAGTGAGCCTGTCTCTCTCTGGATGTCACAGGCACACTCTCTACGCTGCTATCACAGTGAGGTTTCTCTCCCTAAATTAAGAATGTGCTGCTAAGGAAAATACAGAAACACTACCAGAAGTGAACTTTCTGCTACTTGAACGATGTTTTGATCTTGTTTTTAGATTAATCAGTACTCAGAATATTAATTTAAAGTACAGAAATTGAAAGTAACAAAAACCCTTACACAAGCCGACGTTCTACAATGGTCTAACGGTAAAAACCTAAACAGACAGCATTTTAGAACCATGGCATCTGGGATACACTCTTGCCCCTCTACGCCACAAACTACTCTAAAACTAAGACTAATCAACACAATTTCCCTTATATGAGATGAAAAGGAGAGAAAAAAATCCCTGCTGGAAAAAACAACTTTTGCTCATGCATAGTTTCAGCATCATGTGGCATATCACAACAGAACAAGGACAGCAAAACAGTCTTCCAAAGAATGAAGAAGCATTACCTTCTTTCAAAAGCTTCAATCTCTTTTTCCAAAGGGAGGTGGATACATGACTCTACATCTCGACAAATTATTTGAGTGTTTCCATTATGCTATATGACTATATTTGACAATAATTTGATATAACTCAGTAATGTTCATGCTTTATTAAGAAGTAAAGATTTGAACATCTTAAACTCTTATGACTTGTATTTCATACATAGTATGCTTGTTATATTTTAATACTTGAGTATGGATATCATGAAACTTATAAAATAAGTAATTCCAAGAAAAATGGAACTTACCACAAGAGTGTCCAAAGAATCGATCAGTGTTAGGGAAAACCTAAGAAACAAGTATAACAAAATAAATAACACTAGAACTTGAAATGTTCCATCCATGAACATGTAAGCAGAATTATCTATATCTTACTGACTGGTAGTTTTAGTAAGTAGTTCCTCCATGTATCTGCATTGCAACACGATCATACAACGACCAAGCAATCTGAAACATCCTATATATCACTGAAGATGCTTAGAAACCTCAATAGCCCCTTTTAAAACAAATAAAACACTAAAGCTTAATGCTAGAGGTCCAATCCCAGCAGCACAAATAAGTTAGTAATCATAAATTAAAACATACCACATACATACATACATACATACATACATACATACATACAAATGCAGTGGCACATGTGTAAACATGCACATACATTAAACAAACAAGTTAAAAAGGAATTCAAAGTTGGCCAAGCCCCAGCCTGTGACTGTGGGACCCGGCTACTTTGAAACCCATGCTCTGTGCCTTTTGCTCACACTCACTTTCCTAGGGCGTCATCCACGTCACCCCGGCTTGGCTCCTGGCCTCTGACACGGCCTCGACAGGTTAAAGGCATGAGTTCATCAGCTGGGTAGGCATGTTCCTACAGAAAAATCATTAATAAGTCACTAAAGAAAGTGAGAGAACGTACACATCATTAGGAGAATAGGACCTTAAAAGGTGGACTGTCTATACAGTTTGTAGACAATTTAAATTTTTAATTTGAAATGTGATACATGTTTGGGAAAAGGCATATTAAAATTTCTTTTAAAAAACTGTTAACCTGGCTGGGCAGTGATGGCGCATACTTTTAATCCCAGCACTCTGGAGGCAGAGGCAGGTAGATCTCTGTGAGTTCAAGGCTGGCCTGTCTAGAGAGCAAGTTCCAGGACAGCCAGGGCTACTCTATCTTGAAAAACAAAAACCAAACAATAACGACAATGAAACCTGATAATCTGATTTCCCTCCTTGAATGTTACTCTAGAAGTTACCACAGTTAAGACCAACCTTCTGCCTTTTAGGTTTATCCATGTATTAATACAGTCAAATGCATATACATGCATCATTTATAACATTTCTTTTAGGTTTATCCATGTATTAATACAGTCAAATGCATGCACATGTATCATTTATAACATTTCTTTTAGATTTATTCATGTATTAATACAGTCAAATGCATGCAGATGTATCATTTATAACATTTCTTTTTGAAACAGAGTCTCAGTATATAGCCCAGGCTGGCCTGTAACCAGCAATTCTCCTGCCTCAGCCTTCTGAAAACTGGGATTACGAGTACATACTGCCATGCCCACATAAAAACTGGGACTTGGACAAAAGCCAGGTCAATTTAGTGGCTCTTACTGAATGTAGTCCTTTCTCCTGGTAATGGATAACACCACGCTCTCATACAGCTATGGACATGCATTATTCTGTGTGCAAACTCAGGGTCTCAAGCATACTAGGCAAGCACTCTACAAGTGACTGAACTACATCTAGAAATTGTATTTACAAATAGGTACTTAGGTCAAGTATACTCACTGGTCTCTTTTATTTTATATTCTACTCAAAACACAAGGTCCCCCTGAGGTGGTTTGAATGTGAATGGCCCCCACAAACTCATATATTTGAACATTTGATCCTCAGTTAGTGGAACTATTTGGGAAAGATTAGGAGGTGTGGCCTTGTTGGAGGAAGTGTGTCACTGCGAGTGGGTTTTGTGTTTCAAAAGCCACATTAGGCTTTGTCTGTCTGTCTCTGATTGCTACTTTCAGATCAGATGTGAGCTCTCAGTTACTACTCCAGTGCCATGCCCCACTGCCTGCTACTATGCTTCCCTCCATGAGAATGGACTCACCCTCTGATACTGTAAGCAAGCCCCCAATTAAATGCTTTCTTTTATAAGTTGCCTTGGATATGGTGTTACTACAACAACCTCTCCACCATGCTGGAATGTTTCAGAAATACTTTAATAATGAAGTGAAATTATAACTGGTATTCATTGAGTCCGTGTTTTCTACCTCTATTCTCTACATGCAAATATTTAATTATTTCAACAATCCTCTGAAGGAGATTCAATTGTCTTTGTTTCACAGGGGAAACCCAGGGACATCACATAAGTCTAGGTTGAGCAGCTGCCAAGATGAATCTCGAATTCGAAACCTGGTCACCCGAGTGCGGAACCCACACCCTTATCAGGACAAGGCTGCACGGTATGCATGCACTTATCTATTCCTGTCTGGACTAACATGGAGGATGAGATGACAAACGTCTTGGACGTATTCACCTTTCATATACGTATTATTTATGTGGATCACTTAAAAATAAATATGAGTCAAGGGAATATTGAGTTTTAATAGTGACTACCAAGCAGGGTATCAATTTACTATTTATTTCACTCAGTAGGAAATGATTGATGCTTTGTATTTTGCCCGTCTCCTGGGTTAAAAAAATATGTTCCAGTACTAAAAGGACACACACCTTCTTCTATTAGCCACTCCGGAAGACACGTGCTTATGTGATTTATGATTTTAAAGGCTACTTCTATTGCCAAAAAAGATTCAACAAACATAATTTGTTACCAACAATAAAATATCTTTTATCTTTCCTTTGTTTAGTTTTTAATTTTTGTTTGTAGTGTCTTCACTATAAGCTTTAAGTAGGTAAATCTATTCATTTCTTCCTTCATGGTTTCTGGGTTTCAGGAATGCTACACCAGGCTACTCTGGGCCCTAGAAACATTACTCATATACATACACTCATACATGTACACATATATGTACACACACATATACATATATAAACTCTTAAAATTGTTTTCTCTACATGGATTTATTTTGTTTCGAATCTTTAATGCTATTTGTTCCCCAAAATGGCAATTTTATAAAGTCTACTTTTTAAAGAATTCATTCTTTCTCATGTATATGAAATATATTGGCCAAATTATCAACGTAATTTAAGAAACTGGTTATGATATAAGGGTTAAAGATATCACAGAGAAAGTAATCGTACAAAGGAAATTCTAGACATATTTCATGACACTAAGAGAACAAAGTATCAAATGACTGACATCCATCCAGAATTAGAAGGGACTGAGACGACTCCCCATGCCAGGGAAGGCGCTTGCCTTGAGACTTAGGAGACTAAGCATTGCCCGAGCACCACCAGGAAACTTTCCATACAAATAGCGAGGGGCTTACTTTCCATTTTTTAATACTTTAAATATTAAACATGCTAAATAGTAGATTTGCTACTTTTCACTTTTATCCATAACTTACATCAGAGAATTTTGAGAAACACCATATGTTTGTTGTTCCTGGTCTCTATTTTTCTTCTGCTATATAATGAATTTGGAGTCTAGGTTGGATGAGAGACATACAGAGACTGAAACACAATTGAAAATATTGCTGCTGAATTAAGAACTGTACCAGCAATGGAGTAATAAAACAAGTCACACACAGCACACACATCAGACTACTTCTGAAAACTTTCCACAAAAACACCCAGCAAGTGCAAAAGAACTGCAGAACTGTGTCTTCAAGTTTCTGAAGGAAAGAAAACATGTCTGCCTTAAGCATTCCAAACTGTTCAGATGTTCTCCAACTCATGTAAGGGACGAGACAACCTACCAAAGAAATAATACACCTCTGACACCTTCAAACCCAGGAAACTTCCTGAGGAAATCAAGCAACCAAGACAAAAATCACCATCAAACCTCAGGCGAGGGGAAGAGAGAGGTGTGGATCAGCTCCCCTTGAGGATTCTAACACTCTCCATCTGGGGACTGGTCCCAAACCACAGTGAATTCACGAACCTTCAAAGCTCTTTGCCAAAGTCTCAATTTTGGGAGCTGGAGAGATGGAATGGCAATGAGAAGCACTTTGTCCTGGTTAGTTTTTTGTCAACATGACACAAGCTATAGTCATTTGGTATGAGGGATTCTCAACTGAAAAACATGTCTCTATAATATTTGCTTTTAGGCATGTCTGTAGTGCGTTTTCTTATTTAGTGGTGGTATGAGTGGGCCCAGCTCACTAGGCTATGGGCAGGAGGTCCTTGGTAGTATAAGAAAGCAGGCTGAGCAAGCTTGGGAGAACAAGCCAGGAAGCAGCACTCTGTGCCTGTGCATCAGTTCCTACCTCCAGTTCCTGTCCTGACATCATTGAATGATACTCTGTCAGGACAAGATAAATCCTCCCCTTTCCAAGCTGCTTTTGGTCATAGTGTTTTATCATAGCAATAGAACCAGACTGAACAACTGCTTGTTCAAAGGACCCAGGTCCAGTTTCTGGCATCTGTAAGGTGACTCACCACCACCTTTAACTCCAGTTATAGGGATCTGACACCCTCTTCTGGTCCTCAAGGATACTGGATGTACATGGTGCACTTTCATACGTGGGGAGGGGGGGGACATTTATATACATAAAAATAAATCTTTTTTAAATTCTCAATTTTCCTATACACTTGTATGGTTACAGTCATCAACACTGTTTGTATTTCTTAGCCTACTTTTTAGAAAAATTGAATGTTCCATGATGATTCATCCTGAGATGATTCCAGGCAACAAATATTTTGATATATTTAGAATCCATATACAGCCACTACATTCTGAATTTCATATTATATTTTTAAAATTTTATTAATACACATTTTCAGCATAAATTCCTAATTATTTTTATGTGTCAATCTCAATATAACTCTGATTCCCCAGAATGCTTATAATTTTATTGCTTTGTTTTATATTTAACACATGTAAGTTATAAAAGTTTTTTGTAAGTTATAAAAGTTTAAAAAAAAGCTTAAACTTGCCTTAATATTTTGAAAGTTATTTTTATAAAAAAACAAAATGTATTAATTTGATGGGAAAAAGTTCCTTATTATTTTAAACTATTGTTTAGAAACCTCACATTACTATTTTTAGAGTTCTAGAAAACAAAACCACAAATACTTTTATCTGAAATTAAATCTGAACTCTAAACTAAATATGAAAATTCAAATCCTGAACCTATATAGATTAAAAAAAAAAACCAATAGCAAGTATAAAGCAGGATAATCAAAGTAACTTTGAGTAAGGTGTAAAAATACTGCATACTCTTTATCTCAAGATTAAAGGTAAAAATAAAACCAGAGCCTTTCTTCAGGTTAACCACAAAGCACACTCCAGAGAGTTTGCATAAGGCCAGAGCAAGTCCACATGTCAGCAGCCAGCTGCAGCAGGCTTCAGCCAGCTGTGTGAAGCCCACTTCACTCTTCACGTGTTGACAAAACCAAGAGTCAGGATAACACTTAACAATTAATTATAGCTCAGAAATGAAACTTAGGTACTACAGAGAGTACTGCAGAAATTAAGTAGAAAGTGCACCTGACTAAAAGTACAGGAGAAAAAAGAAGTAACGAATACAAGCTAGTAGACTCTCCATATTAGACTCTCGATTTACTATGGTTTTGAGATGATAAACTCATCTATACAGAGTCAACTCAAAACACCAGCCCAAAATGTTTTAGTAACACTTATTATATGTTAGGTAAAGGGAAGGCATTTTATCCTACTAAAAACAACTAACATTAATCATATTATTGAGCCTAAGTAGGTAAAAAAATATTCAT